CGGGGGGGGGGGGGGGGTAGTTTGGTAATTGCACCCCCTTTTTGAATATTGCACCCCCTTTTTGAATATTGTCTTTGATTTGAGATATTCGTGCACTGCATCAATCCAGATGGAAGGGTAATTTGTTTTCTTGGGGGCTCGAGGAGAAGTGAAGGAAGAGGATTGACTTAAGAATTAGAAAACAAACATAGAGTAATTAGAAAAGATGTAAAAATTTGTGTTGTGTTTGTATTTGTTAGACAACTATTAGCAGTTAATTAATCCACATATCAGACTTGCATTTGTTTTAAGAGCTTAAATTTTGAGTAAGAGGGAAGGGTAGCGTGTACTTTACTCACAAAAAGAGTAAGATCGAAGCATGAGAGTTTTCGTAACTAGTGAGTTAAATGTAACTTACGAAATTAATACATGACTGTTTCATGAAGAGGCATATGCATGTCCAATAAATCGAGTTTGCAGATGGACAAACTTCTGACCTTTTTTTTGGGTGGGGGTGGTGTTTTCGTCAAAAAATGTTGTATTCATTGAGATATTCATTACAACTTTAGTCGTTATAATGAAAACAAAAAGATAGTCTTTTTATAAGACTTTTACACAATAAAAATAAAAGTTACAACTCTCGTCAAAACAAACGCAGGGAGATCGTTTATCGTCTCCTGCTTTGCGTTGGTGTCTTCGCCTGTGCCAGGGTTTATTCGTGGACGACCGTCGATTAGATCCGGTTGTTAAAAATTGGGCAGAGCTTCGTCTTTACCGAGGGAGTGTTTGATTTGAAGCGCTGAAATCGACCAAGCGAAATCAGGGCTCTTCTCGAAATTAAGACCAAGCATAATCTCAAGGAACGGACGGACGGGGTTCAGATCCTCCGAATAGCTCCTTCTTTATGCGGAGTTCGCTGGGATCTGATTTTCCTTCGCTAAAATTCGTGCTCCCTGACTCCTCAATCCAGCAGCACCTCCATGTCTTGATAATAAATCGCCCCCAAAAAATGGAGGCCTTGGGCTGATATTTATAAGCCTCGGGTGCGGTTATTTGGATGAGAATAAGTGATTTGGCTCTATCTTCAGTTAACAACAGTCTAACCATGTTTGGGGATGATATCAAGTCAGTTAGGATGCTCTGGAACAGAAGAAACCGATCGAGACAGCCTAAAAACGTATTTTGGAGGTTACGGGCAGTTCTGGGCGCGAGACGGACTGATGTGACGAAAACTCCCATCTCCTTGCCCCGTGGACGTAGGTATCTTGCCGAACCACGTAAAACTGGTGTTAGTGATTGTTTGTGCTTGTTGGTGTGTTGGTTTATCTTTTCTTGGCGATTGGTTTGGATTCTCGAGGCGCAACAAGTGGTATCAGAGCTCCGGGCAACGCTTGGGCTTTTTGAAGGTATAGATCAGTTGGGAAGTTCATCTAGAGCTTCGATTGGTGATAAAGGTGGGATCTTTGTGGTAAAGTTTCTATCTTTTTCAAGTTGGATCTATTCTCTTGTTTGTTTCGCAATTGTTTGGGTGCTTTGAGATTATGGCCGGAAAGGATAAACATGGGGAGGGTTCTTCTAGTGTGAAGGCCGTCCAAAGTTTGAATATACACTCTTTGAAAATTGATGTGGAAAAATTCAACGGCACAAATAATTTTGGACTTTGGAGATGTGAAGTCATGGATGCGCTAAATGCGCAAAATTTGGAAGATATATTGGAGTTGGACGGGAAACCGGACAACATAGATGAAAATGTTTGGAATAAAATGAACAGAACGGCGTGTGGTGTGATTAGGTCTTGCCTTACCCAAGATCTAAAATATGATATGATGAATGAAACTTTGGCAAAGAAGATCTGGGAGGTTCTAGAGGGCAAATATTTGACAAATTGAAGAAGGGGACATCCATTAGTGATCACATGAACCACTACACGAAGCTACTTGCAGATTTGGCGAATGTAGATGTCATTGTTGAAGATGAGGACAAGGCATTGTTGTTATTGAGTTCCTTGCCCGATGAGGAATATGAGACATTCGTCCTCACTCTTATTAATGGGAAGGCATCTCTTTCGTATAGTGAGGTCACCGCAGCCCTTGTGAACTATCAACTTCGAAAGAAGGACAAGGAGACTTCCATCGAGCCGGTTGTGGGGGCATTGGTTGCAAGAGCTAAAAGTTCAAACCGTGGAAGAAGGTCACAGTCTAGAGGGGGGCATCCTGCAGTTGGTAGGAATCAGTGTGCCTTTTGTAGAGAGGATGGACATTGGAAAGCCGAATGCCCAAAATTGTAAGCCGTGAAGAATAAAGGAAAAGCTATTCAAGCTTCAGAGGTAAATGTTGCCAAGGCTAGTGGCGATGTTTCATCGGGCTATTCGTGCCCAGCTCTTCCGTCAGTTGATGTTGCCGACTCCACCGAGTGGATGTTGGATTCTGGTGCTACTTACCACATATGCCCTAGAAGGGATTGGTTCTCCAGCTTTCAGGAGTTGGAAAGAGGGGATGCTGTTCTCATGGGTAATGATCACAGATGCCCTATTGGTGGTATTGGTACCGTTCGGATTCGGATGAGTGACGGGATGATCCGGGAGTTGGCTGATGTGAGGTTCGTTCCTCAACTGAGGAAGAACATCATTTCACTTGGGGTATTGGAGGCATCAGGCTATAGGGTGATCTTGGCGGATTCTCGCTTGAAGGTCACATGGGGGTCCATGATTGTGATGAAGGGAGTCAGGCGGAGTAACTTGTATTATCTGCTTGGGAGCACGGTAGCTGATAGGGCGCTGACTACTTCTATGGCTAGATTGTGGCATTGTTTGGTGCTGGGATATATTATTGGTTATACCGTGTACAGATTGTTGAGGAGTGCTATGACCTGCAGATTGAAGTTCTGTGAGCACATTGGTATGAGCGCGAGAAGACCGAGGTGGAGTTCAGCACTTCTATCCATCGATCGAGGGGTCTTATTGGAGGTGTTCAGTCAGGCATTGGGGGGCTTTCCGAGGAGGCATCATCGGGAGGTAATCGTTATTTTGTTTCCTATGTTGGGGATTGTACTAGGCATATTTGGGCAAGTCCCATTGGTATAAAGCCCTAGTAGTCCGCAACAGTTGGAGGAGGTATATGGGCAGAAAGGTTACCAGTTATACTTATTCTAGTTGGAGTCCTTTCTTGCATTGGTACCGAGCTCAGGGCAGTTGGAGACACTTCAGAGGAGAGGAGACAGTGGGGCGACGTGATGAGATGACGGATTCAGTGAGCCGTTCTTTTCTGGAGGAGCATCGGTATTGGTTGTCGTGCAGTGGATCTGGTATTCATGCTTCGATAGGTTTGGGTCATCTTATGAGGTTGCCGACTGTTGCGTATGGAGTTGTTAGATCTGGTGGAGCTGCTTCAGATTTTGGTTGGCGTCGGATATTGGGCTACCCAGCACTTGGTCACATCGCTGATGTGAGATTGGATCCGATTGCGCAGTTGGGATTCGGGAGTTCATTCGGCTATTAGTTGGGAGCTTCTGAGTTTGGTCTGGGCAGGTTTGTCACTTTGGACTCTCGGCAGGTGGAGAGTATTGATTAGGTCAGAGGGATATCGCAGCGGGTGGAGGTTGATGCTACTCCACATTGGGTGGGGATTTCCACACATACTCCAGGTCATTCTGTATTGGTTGGGATTCCACCTGAGGTGGCACAGCGTGGGAGTCATTTATTTATGAGTGCAGATGATGAGGTAGTTGATTTGGATGCAGCTGGTGGATATGTTTTGGATACGGCCATTGTTACATCTCAGGTGGAGGTGTTTGGATCGCTTCAGTTTGGGGTCGTTGATGATGCTATCAGCCGCAGGTTGGATTGAGGGCCTTTGGAGGCCATTGGTGAACTACGTGAAGGTTTGATTCCTTGGAGAGGATACGTAGGCAGTCAGTTTTCTGATGCATCCGATTTGGTGAGCGACATCGACATTTGGGGTGAGTGTTCACACTCCCATTTGGGTCTCAGCAAGTGAGACATTTGGTGTAGTCGGTGTAGGCTCAGTTCGATTTGGTGAGTAGACACAGTTGTTTTGGGGTTGAGTGTTCGCACTCCCGTTTGGGTCTCGATGTGTTGTGGATGGGGTCCGTTGTCATGAGTCTGTTGCCATGACGTACTGGATGCAGCAGTTGAGGCATTTGGTTTGATCGGTGTCGGCTCAGTTTGGTAGAATCTTCGCCGAGGTGGAGATTTGTAGAAATGACAGGAACAGGCTTACTGGGCAGCAGATTGGGTGGCGGTCGACCGGCCCGGTCGACCGCGTTCGTGCACAAGACTCAGTGGGCATCAGGATTGGTGGCGGTCGACCGACGCGGTCGACCGAAGATGGTAGCGGTCGACCGACGCGGTCGACCGCCGTACTCTCTGGACCTTTTGGGCTTGCTGCTGGATGGAGGGCGGTCGACCGACCCGGTCGACCGCGATGGATCGCGGTCAACCATGCCGGTCGACCGCCGAAGCGGGTTGAGTCTGGGTCTGTTTTCCAGACCCGTTTCGTTTGGGTTTCCTATAAATACCCAAAGGGGTGTTTCTAGGGTTTGGAGGCTGAAGTTTGAGATCTGAAGGGAGAGTTTTATTGGGCTTCTATTGTTGGAGCAATTGGTGAGATCAAGAGTGACTTGTTCACCCCCCATCTCTACATGTGTAAATGTCTAAACTTTAAACTGTATAATCATTTATGCACATAGAACATATATATGATATGCAAATCGGGATGACATGTTGTACCGATTATCACATAGCACACATAAAGAACATCTCACCATTTGATTTGTCATTCTCCTACATCCATGTATATTGAACTCAACGTGGTATCTATACTGTCCATCATGATTTGCATATTCTACGACCTATGCACATAAGATTTGTATAGTTTAGATAATTTTAATCATCGTATTAGCTATTGTAAAAATGGGTGTCCTTCAGCACATCAAACTTTACGTATCAAACAATGATCAAATTTTATTTCTATCCTCTCGTATGGATCCATATATATACACTTTCGACACGAGAGTAACCTCATGACCCACAATATTGACATGCAGCACTCCCCTTGCTCTCTTGCTTAGTGGCATTCTTTGATGCCTTCACCTCATCAAGGACACGAGCCATAAAAGTAGCAAAGTAAGCTTCATCATGCCCAACTTTGCCATCTTTGTAGAAAGCAAAACACTTGAAATTGTCATTGTGAGGACAGTTTTCACCTTCTAGTGGTTCCTTCCACTGCCCTTGGTGCCTCATCCCCGACCAAGCCGCCAACCATCTGTAGACGTACTGGCCAACTCCGGCGTACTCAAGCCAACCTTTAGGGAAGAACTCCATCACGCTGCTGTTTTTGTCCATGAAGATCATGTTTGTCATTTGTGCTCCGTGGCTGGTGACTAGGATGTCTGTCTCGCTCAGCAGGCTCACCTGATTCATTAGTTCAGGATTTTGAGCTTTTGTTAAGAACACTGTATATAGCCTCATTGTAGCAAAATAAGCTAAGAGTACTGTGATTGGCCAGGTTCAACTATTCTGATGTTTGTGACCAACAGGCTGATTTCTACTATTAGTCTATTTGTAGGTGGCAAAACGAGTTGTTATGCCACGTATCTCCATTTGATTATTTCAAGATTTTTTTAGGTAAGCATGTCAGTGATTAAACTACCAAAAAGAGCTGTTTTAATGCTTTTTTTTCCTTAAACTTTTACGACAGTGATGTTTTGGAGTTGTAAAATATATACCCAACCACTTTCATGTATTGTAAAATTTTAGATGTTAATTAGCATGCATGAGACTTTTGACTACTTCAAATCAAATACACCATGAGATTTGAGAATATTTGAGTTATATGCAACATCCAGTTAAGATGGAAGAATTGTTTTTTTTCCTGACAATTGAATAGAATCATGAGGAAAAGTGAGGACCAAAGTATTTCAAAACCAAAGAACAACAAATTTACATATGGACCGTAACATCCTAAAAAAAAACACTAATCTCAACTTCCATGGACAAGACTGTTGTCCCTATACTAAAGATCAAATCACGAGTAGAAAGCATAAAAATCAAAATTCTGTAGAGACCATAATACTCCATTTGATTATTTCAAGATTTTTTTAGGTAAGCATGTCAGTGATTAAACTACCAAAAAGAGCTGTTTTAATGCTTTTTTTTCCTTAAACTTTTACGACAGTGATGTTTTGGAGTTGTAAAATATATACCCAACCACTTTCATGTATTGTAAAATTTTAGATGTTAATTAGCATGCATGAGACTTTTGACTACTTCAAATCAAATACACCATGAGATTTGAGAATATTTGAGTTATATGCAACATCCAGTTAAGATGGAAGAATTGTTTTTTTTCCTGACAATTGAATAGAATCATGAGGAAAAGTGAGGACCAAAGTATTTCAAAACCAAAGAACAACAAATTTACATATGGACCGTAACATCCTAAAAAAAAACACTAATCTCAACTTCCATGGACAAGACTGTTGTCCCTATACTAAAGATCAAATCACGAGTAGAAAGCATAAAAATCAAAATTCTGTAGAGACCATAATATCCTTATACTGAAAAAATGAAACTAATTATGAATCATGGAATCAACATGAACAACAAATCTGAAGGCAAAAAAAATATACACATACTAACCTGATCACAAAATGTCAAATTATCAGACCAGGCAACCTTCATCGCACACCCATCCACTTTCGCACACCCCCTCTCAAAAACCCCGATCACAGCGCTCTCGTTCTTGAATGCTCTCCCTCCAACTCTCAACAACAAAGTAACTCCGATCCGACCACCGTTCACCTTAACCCCACAATACTCTCTGGCTCTGCACCTCATCATGTCATAAACCCTCTCCCTCCCCTCCCTCTCCAGCCCCTGCTCAAGATGCCGAAACACGATCGCCTTCTCGAAGCAAACAGCACCGCCCCCGTACCCCTCAAAATCCTCGATCCTCACCTCGTCCCCGGTCGTGGCCTCGGTCAGGGCATTGACCCAATTCGCCATCTTACTCCTGAGCTGGCCGTGATGGAAGTAAACCCATCTGTCCGCGTTAACGCATTTGTTCCTCTGGTACCACCCTACGAACGGGACTATCGTGGACAGCCCGTGCCAAATGTTCTCTGTTCTGTACAGAGTGTCCGAGACGATGGTTAGGCCTCGGAGGAGCGTGGAGTTATGGGGGAGGGCGTTCGGGTACGCGAGGGCGTAGGAGTTCTTCGAGCCGTCGTGGCGATTGTAGGGGTTCAGGCAGAGGAGGCGGTCGTCGGAGGAGGGAGATGGGAAGAGGAGGTGAGCGGGGTAGTTTGGCAGGCGAATGTCGGCGAGCGAGGACATGAAACGAGGACGAGGGAGAGTTTGAGGAGGTATGAGCGCGGGTTGCGGGTGGTCATGGTGAGATCCGTGGCCTTTGATTGGTACACGAGAGGTTTATGCAGTACTATGTATATATCATCCAATATGATTGAAGTTGAAGAGAAGAGCACCGAAGGTCAACTGCATGGTTGAGAGGTTTTCATTTGCCGGTTTAATTCTGGTTTTATTATAAAAAATAAAATAAAATAAAATTAAAAAAATAAAAAATAGTAAAAAAAAAGTTTAAGAGTAGAGTTTGCTGGGGGAAGAGTAAATTTCACAAAATCTCAGAGAAGTTTGGATCATTATGAGATAACCCCGGACACTTTTTGAGATAACCCGTAAAAAAGTTCGGTGATTATCTGAAAAATAGATTCAGAAAAATGCTAAAGGTTTAGAGATAAAGTGATGTGTTCCCGAATTTTTTGAGGATTTTCTTGAAATAGGCCAAAATTCTTGTGGGCTTTGTGATAAAAAGGGTGCCTTATGGAGTGACAAAGTACGGGAAAAAAAACAGAGGATGATAAATATCGGGACAGAATAGGATCACAACTATCACACATGAAAATCTCGATGCATATGATACTAGTGTTTATTAGTACAACTACTAGCACTTTATTGATATAATTGTTATTATACCGGTAGGCAATGCTTTGATAGATCGGTGATTGCACAGATGTCATCATCATATTCTATAAAGGATCTTTCATAGTGTTTTCCCCCCTCAGTTTGACTTGGGCATGAGAGAAGGCAGAGAATTATGGAGGTAGCTTTCTTATAGGGTTAAGTCAACGGTGTGCCGAATTTGGAGGTGAAGCTTTTGATCCTTCCACATGATATTTTGTATTTAAAAACAGATAATGCTTTGCTTAATCTTTTTTTCCTTTTCCTTTTTCAATGTACGAGAGTTTTCTACTTGAGTTGAGTAGGAGCAACTCTTTTAAAAAGTAGAAACTTTTCGTCTTTTCCCTGCTTGACAGTTGAATTATTGAGGTAGCCTTTCATGTCGACTAGAAGTTGTCGTCCCGCCTTTCGTGTTGACTAGGAGTTGTCGTCTCGCCTTTCGAGTCGTCTGGTTGGTTGAGACGTCTACTCTAGAGATCCAATTTGGGACCAAACTTTCCCAAGTTTTAAGTTACAATTCCAACAGATGAGAGTAATGAAGAATATGATGAGGCGCGGCTTGGACTTGTTGTAGGAGGCTAAATCGTCGGTGGTCCTAGAGAGAGAAGATTTGGGAATTAAGGGCATGTTTTGCAAACTCTTCAAAACTACATTAGGGTTGATCCTGATCCAGTTTAAAGGTAAATAAGTTTTCTTTTTTATCATAGGGAGGGGCGGATAAAAAAGAACATGTTTATTTTTTTGGCTTAGAAAAAACTGGGCTAGAGTAGGTCCCAGTTTTTTTAGTAAAAAACTATCTCAAAATCGGGTCAAGTTTATTCCTCATTCAATTTAAGGATTTGCCAAACACGTCCTAAGGGTCATTGATCTGAAATACTCTTACATTATATCAGATTCAAATGTTTGAATTTGAAGAAATTAGATTCCATGTGGACTTGACATTGAAGAGAAGCGAAAGGAAAGCCAAAAAATTGACTTCAGAATTAGTATCATTGTTTCTGATAAACTCACCATCCTTGTACTTTCATTGTTGCAAATAGACCCTCTAGGTTAAATTATTTTACCCTCGAATAAAGTCGCTAATTTCACACTGAGGCAACATATCTATCACAATTTCACCATGGTAAAAGAGTCAAAAGAAAAAAAAACCCCAAAGAGATCTATCTGCAACAATGAAACTACATGGAACTAGATGGGTGGTAAGTTTAAAACAATGAAACAATAGGAGGCCTGTGAAATTAACCATGTGTTAGAATATAAAAATATAACTCTCATTTTTTATCATAAGCTTTGGAGTTTTTTTGTAATGGTTAGGGACTTGAAAATGATATCAAAACAACCTAAGTTCAAATCTCATTATTGTCCACGATTTTAAAGCGTATTTTCTATTCAAATATCATCAACCATGAATTTATAAAAGGACTCTCAACCTTCTTAGAACCATCTAATATTGTCATATTGGAAAACTTTTCTTGAAACGTCACAAATCACCTCCTTTTTGTTGGAAACCAAATCCGTTATTTTCGCTCAGAATTGAGCTAAAAGGTGAAACTTAATAGTAAAATAATGTGGCATCATTGATGGAGAATTGTTGGAAATGTTCAGTTTTTTTTTTCAATTTTTCATTTCCTATTTTTTGGGTTTGAAACAAACAACAGATTATGAATAAAAGTCAACTTTCGCCAGCTATTTCACGCTGAAATAAATACAACAATAACATTTCCAAAAAGCGCATAGAAACTGATTGATATGAACATTTAGCACCCGATTTCATTTCCTATATTTGGAGGAAATAAACCAAATAGGCCCTAATTAGAAAGGCAAACTCCTCTTCTTCTAATACTTCTAGCATTAGGGCCTGTTTGGTTCAATAGAGGGTAGGAATAGGATTAAGAATCCTATTTTATTTATGGATTCCAACCTAATCCATAAAAAATTTATAGACAATTTTTAGTTTTATAGAATCCCATTTTTTTTGTATTCTATGTTTGTTTCACCCAAAGGATTAGGAATAGGATTAGGAATCAGAATGTCCAATTCCTAATACTATGTTTGCTTCAAAAAGTCTCTTTTTTTGGGAATAAACACTGTAGCAACAGCAGCCTCTGGGGGGGGGGGGTAGTTTGGTAATTGCACCCCCTTTTTGAATATTGCACCCCCTTTTTGAATATTGTCTTTGATTTGAGATATTCGTGCACTGCATCAATCCAGATGGAAGGGTAATTTGTTTTCTTGGGGGCTCGAGGAGAAGTGAAGGAAGAGGATTGACTTAAGAATTAGAAAACAAACATAGAGTAATTAGAAAAGATGTAAAAATTTGTGTTGTGTCTGTATTTGTTAGACAACTATTAGCAGTTAATCCACATATCAGACTTGCATTTGTTTTAAGAGCTTAAATTTTGAGTAAGAGGGAAGCGTAGCGTGTACTTTACTCACAAAAAAAGTAAGAGCGACCATGAGAGTTTTCGTAACTAGTGAGTTAAATGCAACTTACGAAATTAATAGTCTGTTTCATGAAGAGGCATATGCATGTCCAATAAATCGAGTTTGCAGATGGACAAACTTCTGACCTTTTTTTTGGGTGGGGGTGGTGTTTTCGTCAAAAAATGTTGTATTCATTGAGATATTCATTACAACTTTAGTCGTTATAATGAAAACAAAAAGATAGTCTTTTTATAAGACTTTTACACAATAAAAATAAAAGTTACAACTCTCGTCAAAACAAACGCAGGGAGATCGTTTATCGTCTCCTGCTTTGCGTTGGTGTCTTCGCCTGTGCCAGGGTTTATTCGTGGACGACCGTCGATTAGATCCGGTTGTTAAAAATTGGGCAGAGCTTCGTCTTTACCGAGGGAGTGTTTGATTTGAAGCGCTGAAATCGACCAAGCGAAATCAGGGCTCTTCTCGAAATTAAGACCAAGCATAATCTCAAGGAACGGACGGACGGGGTTCAGATCCTCCGAATAGCTCCTTCTTTATGCGGAGTTCGCTGGGATCTGATTTTCCTTCGCTAAAATTCGTGCTCCCTGACTCCTCAATCCAGCAGCACCTCCATGTCTTGATAATAAATCGCCCCCAAAAAATGGAGGCCTTGGGCTGATATTTATAAGCCTCGGGTGCGGTTATTTGGATGAGAATAAGTGATTTGGCTCTATCTTCAGTTAACAACAGTCTAACCATGTTTGGGGATAATATCAAGTAAGTTATGATGCTCAGGAACTAACAAATCCCGAGAAAAATCGTCAAAAACAGCCAAAACGCGTTTCGGGCTCCGGACTGTGCGGCGCGGGTCAGACAGATCCGACCCGCGCGGGCGGGTCGGATCCAATCCGACCCGCGCGGGCGCGGGTCAGTCTGTTTTGTCCCACGCTAGCGCGGGTCCGTCGCTTTTGCCGAACTTGTATGTTTTCTGACTTTTTTGATTTTTCGGGACTTGTAGTATCTCCCGTTTTGCGTGATTGGTCATCTTGTTGACTTGTATGCTCCCCGCGAGTTTGATCGATGCGCGCGATTTGACCGACGTGCGCGAGTTGATTGTTGGGCGCGTGTTGATTAATGCGCGTGCGTATGTTGGCGTGCGCGAGTTGATTGACGCGCACATGTTGACCGACGCACGCGAGCTGATTGACCCGCGAGCTGATTGACGTGCGCGTGTTGATTAAGGTGCACGTATTGATTGACGCACGCGAGCTACTTGGCGTTTGCCGTTGTGGTGGTTCGTTGTCGTGTCATCAACGGTTCGCTGATTCGCTTCATGCGCTTGTCGACGTCAGATAATCCTCTTCGACTCGGATAATGACGTTCATCGCCTTCTCTTGGTCTTGAGCTGTATTTTGGGACATATAGGCAAGTTTTAACGCCTACAGGTGTGGGTGGGTGGGGGGTATCAAAAGACACTCTCCCTGCACTCTCTACATGTGTAAAAATGAGAGAGAGAAAATGAGATACTGTGAAGTGATATCTTACTGTGAGCCAGAAATGTCTAAACTTTAAACTGTATAATCATTTTTGCACATAGATCATATATATGATATGCAAATCAGGATGACATGTTGTACCGATTATCACATAGCACACGTAAAGAACATCTCACCATTTGATTTGTCATTCTCCTACATCCACGTATATTGAATATCTATATTGTCCATCATGATTTGCATATTCTACGACCTATGCACATAAGATTTGTATAGTTTAGATAATTTTAGTTATTGCATTAGCTATTGTAAAAATGGGTGTCTTTCAGCACATCAAACTTATACGTATCAAACAATGATCAAATTCTATTTCTATCCTCTCGTATGGATCGATATACACTTTCGACGCAAGAGTAACCTCATGACCCACAATATTGACATGCAGCACTCCCCTTGCTCTCTTGCTTAGTGTCATTCTTTGATGCCTTCACCTCATCAAGGACACGAGCCATAAAAGTAGCAAAATAAGCTTCATCATGCCCAACTTTGCCATTTTTGTAGAAATGAAAACACTTGAAATTGTCGTTGTGAGGACATTTTTCGCCTTCTAGTGGTTCCTTCCACTGCCCTTGGTGCCTCATCCCCGACCAAGCCGCCAACCATCTGAAGACGTACTGGCCAACGCCGGCGTACTCGAGCCATCCTTTAGGGAAGAACTCCATCACGCTGCTGTTTTTGTCCATGAAGATCATGTTTGTCATTTGTGCTCCGTGGCTGGAGACTAGGATGTCTGTCTCGCTCAGCAGCTTCACCTGATTCATTAGTTCAGGATTTTGTGCTTTTGTTAAGAACACTGTATATAGGCTCGTTGTAGCAAAATAAGCTATCAAAGATAGAGCGTGATTGATGAGGTTCAACTATTCTGATCGATGTTGTGACCAACAGGCTGATTTCTGCCATTAGTCTCTTTGTAGGTGGCAAAACGAGTTGTTATGCCATGTATCTCCATTTGATTATTTCATGATTTTTTAAAAAATCTTGAAATAATGCTTTTTTAAAAACTACCAAAAAAGAGCTGTTTTAATGCTTTGTTTAAAAAAATCTTTTACGACAGTGCTGTTTTGGAGCTGCAAAATATCCAACCAGTTACATGTATTGTAAAATTTTAGACGTTAGCATGCATGAGACTTTTGACTACTTCAAATCAAATACACCATGAGATTTGAGAATATTTGAGTTATATACAACATCTAGTTAAGATGGAAGAAGAGGTTTTTTCATGACAATTGAATAGAATGAGGAAATGTGAGGACCAAAGTATTTCAAAACCAAAGAACACAAATTTACGTGAGGACCGTAACATCTTAAAAAAAAAATCACTAATCTCAACTTCCATGGACAAGACTACTGTCCCTATACTAAAGATCAAATCACGAGTAGAAAGCATAAAAATCAAAATTCTGTAGAGACCATAATATCCTTATACTAATTTTTTTTTATATAAATGAAACTAATTATGAATCTTGGAATCAACATGAACAACAAATCTGAAGGCAAAAAAAAAAAAAAAAAAAAAAAAAAAAAAAAAAAAAAGAAAAAAAACAAAAGAAAAAAAAAAAAAAAAAAAAAAAAAAAAAAAAAAAAAAAACACTAACCTGATCACAAAATGTCAAATTATCAGACCAGGCGACCTTCATCGCACACCCATCCACCTTCTCACACCCCCTCTCGAAAACTCCGATCACAGCGCTCTCGTTCTTGAACGCTCTCCCTCCAACTCTCAACAACAAAGTAACTCCGATCTGACCACCGTTACCACCGTTCGCCTTAACCCCGCAATACCCTCTGGCTCTGCACCTCATCATGTCATAAACCCTCTCCCTCCCCTCCCTCTCCAGCCCCTGCTCAAGATGCCGAAACACGACCGCCCTCTCGAAACAAACAGCACCGCCCCCGTACCCCTCAAAATCCTCGATCCTCACCTCGTCCCCGGTCGTGGCCTCGGTCAGGGCATTGACCCAATTCGCCATCTTACTCCTGAGCTGGCCGTGATGGAAGTAAACCCATCTGTCCGCGTTAACGCATTTGTTCCTCTGGTACCACCCTACGAACGGGACTATCGTGGACAGCCCGTGCCAAATGTTCTCTGTTCTGTACAGAGTGTCCGAGACGATGGTTAGGCCTCGGAGGAGCGTGGAGTTATGGGGGAGGGCGTTCGGGTACGCGAGGGCGTAGGAGTTCTTCGAGCCGTCGTGGCGATTGTAGGGGTTCAGGCAGAGGAGGCGGTCGTCGGAGGAGGGAGATGGGAAGAGGAGGTGAGCGGGGTAGTTTGGCAGGCGAATGTCGGCGAGCGAGGACATGAAGGTGAACTTGGGGGTGTGGGAGAGGCTGAGGTCCTTGAGAGGGAGGAATGTGATTGAGTTGCGGGAGTGAGAGAGGAGGAGGGTTGGTGTTGGCTTCGGTGGTGGTGGTGAAGAGGGGGAGGATCAGTCGTTGTGCCGAGGGGGAGTTGGAATATTGGAGGTGGAAGAGGATTAGGAGGACGGTGAGGAGGGTGGTGTAGACGAGGACGAGGGAGAGTTTGAGGTATGAGCGTGGATTGTTGGTGGTCATGGTGAGATCCGTGGCCTTTGATTGGTACACGAGAGGTTTATGCAGTATATATCATATCTAATATGATTGAAGTTGAAGAGAAGAGCACGGAAGGTGACCTGAATGGTTGGGAGGTTTCAATGCCCTGTTCAATTCTGGTTTTATTATAAAAAAATTAAATTTATTTTAAAAAAATAAAAAATAGTGAAAAATAGAAGTTGAAGAGTAGAGTTTGGGAGGGGAAGAGTAAATTTCACAAAATCCGAGAGAAGTTTGTTTCATTATGAGATAACCCCTGACACTTTTTGAGACAACCCGTAAAAAGGTTCGGTGATTATCTGAAAAATAGATTCAGAAAAATGCAAAAGGTTTAGAGATGAAGTGATGTGTTCCCAGATTTTTTGAGGATTTTCTCGTAACAGGCCAAAATTCTTGTGGGGCTTTGTGATAAAAAAGGGTGTCTTTATGGAGCGGCAAAGTACGGGGAAGAAAACAGAGGATGATAATTATCAGGACAGAATAAGATCACAACTATCATACATGAAATCTTGATGCATATGATACTAGTGTTTATTAATACAACTACTAGCATTTTATTGAAATATAATTGTTATTATACCGGTAGCCAATGCTTTGATAGACTGGTGATTTCACAGATGTCATCATCATCTTCTTCTTCGGCCTGCATCGCATTATATTATATAAAGGATCTTTCATAGTGTTTTCCCCCCTCAGTTTGACTTGGGCATGAGAGAAGGAAGAGAATTATGGAGGTATCTTTCTTATAGGGTTAAGTCAACGGTGTGCCGAATTTGGAGGTGAAGCTTTTGATCCTTCCACATGATATTTTGTATTGAAAAAACAGATAATGCTTTGCTTAAATTTTTTCCCCCTTTTTCAATGTATGAGAGTTTTCTACTTGAGTTGAGTAAGAGCAACTCTTTTAAAAAGTAGAAACTTTTCGTCTTTTCCCTACTTGACAGTTGAATTTGGGCAGGCAATATTTTTTTGTTCCAAGTTTCTTCAATATTCAAAGGCACCTTTTATATATATTACATTCTCTATGTGGGTAGTGGCTCATAGTTTCCGACTAATTTCAATTCCTAGGTACGTTCTATTTTCTTCTGTCCTCTATTTTAGATTATTGAGTATGACTGTAAGAGTATCAATCAACTAGTATTATTCATGATTGGAGCCTAAATTAGGTGAATGATGTCAAATCACGCCCATTTACAAGCATTTCGATGAAGACTCGCGCAAAGCCCATAAAACGTTTTTTATTGACCCTCTTAGCCTAAATTAGGTTGTGACGCACCTATTGCACGAGTGTTTGCTATCTGCAATTCTGGCACCCAAAAAATAAAATAAAATCTGGGTTTTCTTTGAAAATTTAGGAGGACGAATTTTCAAAACCGACCCATTTGTGAACTTAATCCCAAAAAACGGCATCATTCAAACAAAATTGTAAAAACCGACCTGGTTTCAGCCTCAGCGCTGAAACCAGGTCGGTTTTTTAAAAAAAAATTCGAAACTTCACCGGAGTTCAACTTCCGTGAAGTTTAGCAGATCTACTAAACTTCACGGGAGTTCAACTTCACGTTCAACTCCCGTGAAGTTTCGAAATTTTTTTTTTAAAAAACCGACCTGGTTTCAGCGTTGAGGCTGAAACCAGGTCGGTGTTTACAAATAAAAATTAAAGGGGTCGTTTTTTGGGAATAAAATTGCAAAAGGGATTGTTTTGAAAATTTGTCCTATATT